TAAACAGCTATTTTCAGTTCGTTATGTTAAAGATCTGATCCATGTCCAACAACTGTTGTAAGGCCAATCACTTAAACCACGGAAACACATCCCTGAGAACACAAACTAGCCGTTTTTTCTCCTTTCTATGATATTTGCCAAGACGGTTGGCTCTTTCTCCTCTATCTCAATCCATTTGACACAATATCTCTTTTCCTGTGATCTAGCTTTTCTCGCGTCGTTTCCGCGCATTTTTGATCCACACTTTGAACAGCTGTTCTCATGCATAATTTCAAGTCAGTTGAGCGAATTTGAACAAAGTTATGAATGCTCGAAAAAATTATCTTTATTGTACACAGTTGTGAAAAATAAGTGGGTGTTAACCACTAATAAATATTGAACTATGGAGGCTCAACATCTGCTAGACCCGGGGATTTATGTATGCAAAAGAAAAATATTAATCTGCCTTTTTCCACAATAAATTGTGGATCAACAATTTGTAAGAGATGTACTAATGATAGGTAGGAAAAAATGAGAAATAATTAATCCCTTTAGATTTTTGATGACACCCCCAACGGATTTGTGCAAGCCATACTTGTAAAAAAATTCCGGGCCGGCCCGCCAAAGCCCGAACCCGGGCCCGGGCCCGGGCCGGGCCGGGCCGGAGGAAATTTTCAAGGCCCGGGCCCGGCCCGGAAGGCCCGGTGTCAAAATTCTGTAGTTTTGAGCCAAATTTTGAGCTCCCAATATAATTGTTTTTTCCATTTTTTTTTCGTATTTCGGATTGTTTGTCTGTCTGATCAAAAAAAATCGAAAATCTCGAAAAAAAATTTTTTGGTCGAAAAAAATCACGTAAGGGTCCCCCCTTATGTGTTTTTGGAAAATTTCGAAACTAGTGAAATGACGGGCACGCCGGGCCGGCCGTTCAACAAAGTTTTTCCTTGTCGATATTGAATTCGAACTGCAAATTTTTTAATATCAAATTATTCTGAAAGTAACTCATATGAAACTGACGAAGTAACCTCTAAACCATCATTTTTTAAAACTATGCCATCCTCACCATTTAACAGTATCTTCAGTAAATTTCATCCTACTGTAATCCTTGAAATTTTTATTGTTCTGATTTCAGCTTAATTCTTAGCATTTCAAAAATGTGTTTTCGAGCTAGATCGTTTTTGGAGTTTCTGTACTTTAATCCAATTTTTCTACCCTTACACACGTTTTTTCCAACGTTTTTTTTTCAGCGAATTTTATAC